GGGGGGGGGGGGGGGGGCTTGTGTTAGTTCTTTGAACCTCATGGAAAAAAAGGGGGGAAACTTATTGGGTCTCCCCAAAAACCTCGGCGCCTGCCTTTTATCTGTGGGTTTTTTTTCATTCTGGAAATCTTGCACTCAACATGGCTGTCAGTGAACAATGGGGGGCGAGGGGGGGTTGCAAAGAGGAGGAAGGGACAGAAATCCGCTTTCTGAGCTGGGATGCACGGGTGGGTTAGCGCTGCAGAAAGTGCTTTTTGCTGGAGAGAAAGGGGGAGAGGGAGGGAGGGAGAAAGAGAGGGGGGACAGGAAGGAGAGAGAGGGGGGTGGTGGAAGGGGAGGCTGGGTTGCAGTTGGCACCCTTCCCTCGGAATTTGAACGGAGGCTTCTAAGAGGGGATGCAATTAGCCCCCCTCCAAGAGGCGCCCCCCGCCCCCCAGCCAGGGCTCCTGCCTTGCTCAACCGGGTCTCTGACTCAGGAGGGCCCCTCAGCCCCGGCGGACCAACGGGGTCCCTCCGGAGAAGAGGCGCCCGGAGCCCAACTTGCCCGGGGTGGCGTCGGCGTCGCGGTGTCAAAATGCGCTCGGGCCACGGGGGGAGGGCAGGGAGCGCCGGAGCTGTCAGCGGCGGGGGAGGGATGGACCCCGCGTGAGGGGACCCTCCGCCGGCTCCGCCTGGCCTCCCTGCCCGTCCGCCTGGCCCCCGTCGGGGTGGCTGGACATTCCCCCCAGCCCCACCCCGACCACCCGGTTCCGCAGCCCCGGACGGGCGCGCGTGTGTGTGTGTGTGAGTGTGTGTGAGGGGGAAGTTAGGCGGGGAATGCCGCCTCCCACAGCTGGAAAAGCCCCGGCTGCTTCTCGGCCTCGGAGGGAAGCGGGGGCGGCGTTCCCGGGGCTCCGGTTGGCGGGCCCAGCAGGCGGGAGAGTTTCGCCTCAGGTCTGGCTGGGATGAAGCGTCTCCGTCCCCCCCTCAGGGTCCTCCTCAGCCCGCCATCCAGGACCAGCCAGCGCGGCCGCCCATCCCACCTCTGCCTCTTCTTACCCCGGCGCCGGACAGACGTTCCTCCCGCGCGGACTCAGCTCCTGCGTAGCCCCGCCGCCCGAGGAGAGCAGCAGCAGCAGCAGCAGCAGCGGCGGCGGCGGCGGGGCGAAGGGTAGCAGAGCCCGGCCGTCCCCCGCAGCCGCTGCCCCGCCGGCGAGCCGGGCCCTCAGCGGCGGCGGCGGCGGCGGCGGCGTCTCCATGCGTGAGGAGCTGCTGCGCTCTCCTCCTCCGGCCCTCCTGGGGCAGCTCGCCTCCCCGACGGCGGCGGCGGCGGCGGCGGCTCCTCCTCCTCCTCCTCCTGGCTGCTCCAGCATCCTGGGCGGAAGCGGGCGCGCGAGAGCCGCCGCCGCCCCCTCGCCCCTCGCCCCCGGCGGCGGCGGCGGGAGCAGCAGCGGGCGGGGCGGCCGCCCAACGCCGCCTCGCTGCCCCGCTGCCCCGAGCGCCAGGCGCTCCGGATGGATGGCGGACGCGCGTCGGTTCCCCGGGCTGGAACCGCGCAAGTAGCCCGCTCGGGCGGGCGGGCGGGCGGGCGGGCGGGCAGGGAGGGAGGGAAGCCCCGTCCCTCTCGCCCCCGCAGCTCGGCTCCCCTTCGAAGCGGGCGCCGGGATGCCCCTCTCCGCCGCTTTCTTCGCCCTGCCCAGGTAGGCTTGCCCTGGACAGCCCAAGCGGGGTTTGTGTGAACGGAGCCCCTTGACGGGGGCTTTCTGCGGGCGTGGCTGGGACTGGATGCCCGGGACTGGCCGGTGCAGATGGTGAGATTTCCCTTGAACGAGGCGGCAGCCGTGGCCGGATCTCGGGGGAATGACCGGTAGTTTGAAGGCTTCAAACTAAACCTGGGTTAGGAAGAGGGAGGTTCGCAGAAAGGGAAGCCCCGAGAATTCAGCAGAACTCAAGCAGAATCAGAGAGTCCCTTAAACCGGGGGTCTCCAACCTTAGCAACTTTAAGCTGGGCGAACTTCAACTCCCAGAAGTCCTCCAGGCTTAAAGTTGCCAAGGTTGGCTGGGGAATCCTGGGAGTTGAAGTCCTCCAAGTTGCCAAGGTTGGAGACCCCTGCGTTAAGCTGTTTGGCTTCTGGTGGCCCTGATTTTGTCTCCAAAGCTTGACCTAGGATGGTGGCCCTCCGCTCGTGTGTCTGGGAAGCTAAGCAGGGTTGGGCCCGGCTAACACTTGGAAGAGAGACTTCCTGGAAATTCCAAGGCTTTGGACTAATGAAGCCACGTTGCTTTTGTCACAGGCAATGACAGCTGATCCTCTGAGGAGCGTTTTGGCTGAAAGACCAAACGGGATCCTAGAACAGATACAAGCCAGGGCCAAACCCTTCTGTCCTTATGGTTGTTGGTTTGAGCTTCGAGCTTGGTGATTTGGCTGCAAATGTTTCGTCCCTATTCAAGGAGACAATCTTCAATTAAATGGGGAGGAAAAGTTTGCAACCAAATCGCCAAGCTGGAAGCTCAAACCAACAACACAACTACCAACTCAAGCTACTAAGATTCCAAAGACATTTCATTTTCTGTCCTTGCCATTTTCTGTCCTTCGTGGACCTTCCTTGAAGTCCCCGGCTTGATGTAAAGGACATCACAATTTTTGACCTGCTGTGATGAGAAGCCCCTTCTGTCCAACCCTTTCCGGTATTTCTCTGGTGTAAGAGCAGGAAGGGCTTGTGGTCCAAAACCAGGGGTAGGATTCAAATAATTTAACAACTAGTTCTCTGCCCTAATAGTTCTTCCAACAACCAGTTCACCAAACTGCCCAGAAAGTTAACAACCGGCTGAATCCCACCACTGTCCAAACCCCATTCTTTCCCCAATCCTTTCGTGGGCTCTTCTGCATCAGTGCAGCCCCAGAAGGACCAGCTGCCTCCTCCCCACAGAGTGCCTTTCCCTCTGCCCAACTGACCTATGGCCTGTGGTCACTTATGACTTGCTAGAATGGGGCCTGCGACCAGTGGGATATAATAAGTGACGGTCACTTTTCCAGCCCCTCTGAACAGATGGATTCCCACGTATAAAGCTGCTGCCTGGCTTGGCTGGGTGATGCAGGGCGGAGTCGCCAACTGTGCCTCGAACAAATGGTGGTGTCAGGAAAGGGGATCTTAGAATAATATGTGAATCCAGCCGAGGAATGCCAGTTGTTTACCTCTCTCTCTTTGATCCCAGGCTGCCCGTCAGAAGAAAATGTGCCCCTCAAAAGACTCTTTCCCCCTGCAGGCGAGTGCAGTCTCTTGGGCTGTTACTCTCTCATTTGTTCTAAGCTGTCCTTGGAATTGGGGGCAGGCAGGCAGGCAGGAAGAGGAAGGAAGGAAGGAAGGAAGGAAGGAAGGAAGGAAGGAAGGAAGG